TCACCCCCAGACTTTTAACTTGGCAGTGAACAAGGATGCAGCAATCAAGGATAACTATGAAATGGTCACAGGTAAAATGCAGTTTGGTGTCCCAGGTTGTGTAGGAATAATCAAGATTGGGAAGAGCCAGAGCTGTTAGATCTCCTTGCACTATTTCATAGATACAAAATCTAAATCAGACCAAACAATGAGGATTGGATTTGGTGGATGGAATCCAGAAATGGATCTGGTCAAACACAGTTTCATCTAAAACTATATTCTTTCTGTGAACTGCTATATTAGATAGAATCCTTACAATCAACAATCTCCAATTGAGAGGGATGACCATAACCAACCAATGCAAGCTATGTGGTCTTGAGGAGCCGGTGCATCATTTATTGATGCATTCCCACTTTTCTTTTTGTGCTTGGATGCATTTTTTTAGACTGTTTGGGGTAAGCACCGCTCTTACCAGAGATGTGTGGTCCCTTGTTGTTGCTTGGAGGTGTAAGGCTTTCAGTAAAAGAGGGACCATCTTGTGGAGGTTGGTACCTGTGGTCATTTGCTGGCTCTTGTGGAAGGAGTGCAATGAGAGTGCGTTCAACACAAACAGTTCTCAACTGGAAGCACTACTAGGAAGAATGTAGAGAACCCTACATCAGTGGTCATGCATTCACAAAGAATTCAGACTGAAATATATTAAAAGAGCCATCCCATAAGCTGACAGGGAAGAGAAGTTCAAGCCTGTTAATTCCTTTTTTTCTATGATGATCTAGTAGGGTGTTCTTATTATCTGTTCTGCTGATCTTTTATGGATGCCTATATGGCCTATGTACTGTTGCTTTGAGGAATGCTTTTCCACTTTTAATAGAATTTTCACCATTTATCAAAAAAAAAAAAAAACTAAGTGCTGGTTTAATCTCTAGTTTTATATACCAGTCAACAAGAATGTAATTGAAAAAAAATAGTCATGATTTTTACCAAATAAGAGTGGATTTCATAAGAAAACATAGTTAATTACCATATCCAAAAATATATCTGTTTACTCAGAATCTATCAAATAATTCGTCAAGCAGGATGGTGAGAGAGTTCTTATTGGAGGTCAAAACCAGCAGCATAAAACTCTTTGAAGTGTGAAGATAAATGGTTCACCTTTGTAATGTTCATGGTGAGTGAACATTTGATATGATTGCAAGGGTGGGATATAGTTTTGTACAAGGCTTTCTATTTTGGGTTGATATGTATGTAGATGGTTATATTTTGATTTAAGCACTAACAATTTAACGGTGGATATGACTTTAATAGAACAGATTGGTGAAACATGATTCATGTAGTCAACCCCATATAGTTGGGAATCTTGGGATAAGTCTAGGATGACTTATCCCTTTTTCTTTTCACCTTGATTGTTGATGTGCTTGGGAGATTGATCCATAGAGCAGACTCGAGGAATTTGATAAGAGGGTGGAGAGTAGGAAGGGAGGAGGTTCCCTTAACACTTCTATAGTTTGCAGATGATACTATTCTATTTTGTGAAGGAATGAACTTCAATTGGATCCGGAATCTAATTGACAATACAACTCTTTGAGTAGATATCTAATCTCAAGGTGAACTTTGATAAGAGTTGTGTGGTGGGAGCGAATGTGAATGAAAGGGACCTAAGGGAATTTGCAGGTGAGCTAGGTTGTGCAATTTCGGACTGGCCCCTGGAAGAGTGTTAGCTTTTCGGCTCCGGTAGTGGAGAGGTTTGAGAAGAGGCTGGCAGCCTGGAAGAGAAATTATCTTTCTTTAGGTGGGAGAGTCAGTCTCATTAGGTCTACCCTAGCTAACCTACCTATCTACTATCTGTCAGTGTTTAAGATCCTCTCAAAGGTTTCCAATCTTTTGGAAAAATTAATAAGCAACTTTCTATGGGAGCCTGGAGAGGAGAAGAGAGATCATAGGGTGAGTCACTAGGTGTAAAAACTAGGAGGTATTGGGATTGGTAATTTCAAAAAAGGAATATGGCTCTACTGGGGAAATGGTTGTGTAGGTTTTCATTGGAAAGGGATAAATTGTGGACTAAGATTGTGGCTAGCATTCATGGGTTGGGATCCTGGAATCTTGGCAAGGGCTTCAGCTGCTTCTTGGAAATCCATTCACAATCTGCTTCAAATTCTCTCCCCTTGGATCAGGTATGGTCTAAACTCTGGTAACCGAATAAAATTCTGGGAACAACTTTGGGTCGGGGATTCTCCTCTGAAGGACCAGTTTCCTTCCTTGTATGCTCTATCAGACTTGAAAAATGAACCCATATCTTCCTTCTTGGTCCCTTCAGCCTCCACTTTTGGCTTTGGATGAAACCTAGGCCTGCGTAGGGCAATTAGGGATATAGACATGGATAACTTGGTAACTTTGCTAGCCTCCCTTGTGATTGTCTTCCTAAACCGTGCTAAGGAAGACACCAGATTTTGGACCCCTTCTAGCTCTGGTACCTTTTCTTGTGCTTCATTCTTTGAAACCTTAACTCAACCTCCTATCCCCTTTGGGTTGCCCTTTCCAGTTAAGGAAATTTGGAGTAAGCCTAATCCTCCTCGGGTTGGTTTTTTTTGTTGGGAAATTTTCCTGGAAAGAATCAACACTTTAGACTTACTTCAGAGAAAGAGACCCAACTATTGTCTACTTCCTAATAGATGTGCTCTTTGTAAAGCTGATGGGGAATTTGGCTACCACCTCATGGTCTCTTGTAAGGCTGCTAAAACTGTTTGGGAGTGGGTTTTCTCTCGTTTT